ACAACAACAAACTCAGGTGGGACATACTCATGGTTGTATTTTGAAGTTTATGGGATTGTTTTCAACTTTCAATTTTTTTCAGCTGCAACTTGAACTTGCATATATGCAATTGATAACCAATTCCCAATCTTAGCCTTGTTCTGACTAGTGATATTGAGCTTTCCCATGTTTCTTTCTCACAGATGTAGTAGACCGGATTTCCATATATTCTGTCCAGTTAGGTCTCTATGTCCAGCATTTATGCTGAAAAATGTGTTAAAAAATAAAGTTGGTTATACAAAATTCTATAATGTAAACTGCAGCCTCACTTCTATTATTAAGGCTTTATTTTTTAACTACTAATCTTTTTATTTCCAACTTCTATATTCCAAATAACAATTATTGATGTATCCTGATTTTTAAGTTTAATTAATTTCAGACTGCTGGAGTTGGTAGAAATTTTGATTATCTTTGGCTGTAGGGATTTGGCCATAAATTTGAGTAGTTAGTAACATTATTCTTTGTTGTATAATATATCTTCCTTGTATGCATTAGACTATTATCCTATCACAGAAAACAATGTACTTTGGAATACACCTTGAAATGTTCTTTACGAGGATGAAAAGGGTGCCATTCTTTATTTCAGCATTTCTGGAATAGGAAAATGCACCTTTAGAGCCATGTGAAGAAAAATTGAATAACATCAAACACTCCTATTAGTAATAAACATATTTAAAATTTAATAAACTAAGCATCAGTATAAAGTTTTAACAGTAAAATGAACTACTAAGTTTTGTAATATGAAGCTGATCAACATGCAGTCAAAACACAATCAATATAAAAATGCAAATTAAAAGAGTACAAACAGTATACCATTTAAACACTAATCATAGAAAGCTGGAGTGACTATCTTAATAGACAATTAGACCTCAGAACAGGGTCTATTACCAGGAATAAAGAGGGATATTTCATAATAACATAGTGTTAATTTAAAAAAGAAAGCATAAAATAATAAGTATGTACTGAAAAGCAGGGCTTAAAAATGTATTAAGCCACTACGGTAGAATGAGTAGAAGGATCCAAGGGGCAAAGGAAGGTGGAAGCAGAGGGATGAGAATGTGCAAGGAGAGGGGGGAATTAATCATGGAGCTGTACAATTTGATGAGTGAGGAGGTAAGGGAAATTGGAAGAATTTGTTCTAGAAAACAATGTATTCTAATTTTGTAAATAAACTTGTATAATTTAAAAATGTATAAAGCATACCAAATGTAATTTAAAATCAGAAAAGGTGTGAGTGAGGGTTGCATCCTTTCTCCATACCTATTAATTCTATTTAGTGGGCAAATGATTTGAGAAGCTGGATTCTGAAGAAGAATGTGGCATCAGATCGGAGGAAGGCTCATCAACAACCTGCTGTATTAATGCAGATGATACAACCTTGCTTGCTGAAAGTGAGGAGGACTTGAAACACTTGCTGCAGAGAATCAGACTACAGCCTAACATGGACTGCATCTCACCATCAAGACAAACGGATAAACAACATAATGAATGGAGAAAAGATTGAAAATTGTCAACAATGTCATCTTGCTTGGATCTTGATCAATATCCTCAGAAGATCAGGAAATAAATTGCATTAGGTAAGTCCACTGTCAAGGACCTCTCCCAAGTGCTGAGGAGCAATGATGTCAATCTGAAGACTTAGGTGCACCTGATTCAATATTTTCAATCACTTGCTACGCATCTGAAGTGGACAATGAGTAATGACGACAGAAGAATTGATGCCTTTGAGTTGTGATGTTGGAGAAGAGCATGGAATATCCCAAAGAACAAACAAATATGTCTTGAAAAAAGTGCAGTCAAAGTGCTTCATGAAGGCAAGGATGGTAAAGCTTCATCCCATATACTTACGCATGTTGTTAGGAGAGGCTATTCTGTGGAAAGGTGGAGACTTGGCAAAGAGTAGAAGACCCTCAATGAGACGGCTTGACACAGTGACTGAAGCCATGGCTGCAAGTGTGTCAGAGATGATGAGGATGGCACAGGACAGGACAGGTTCAGACCTGTTTTTCTTGGGGTTGCTGTGAATTGTACTTGACTTGACATCCAATAACAACAGCTGATTTAAATTAGCTGTTTGATAGAAAATTTACCTTTATTGGAGATTTCTATTTCCTGACAGAAACAGGTGTTGTTATTGTTGCTAGGTGCCACTGAGTCCTTTGTGACTCATGGCAACGCTATGTACAACAGCTCTGAACTCTGCTCTATCTTGAGCCAACTTCATTGTTCCAGACACGCCTACCCCCCCAACTCCCCAGTCACTGAATCAGTCCAGGTTCTTCCTCTTTTGTGCTGTCTCTCCACCTTTCTTCAGGATGGACCTATTTTTTTCTCTTAGCAGTCCATGGGGGCTGGAGGGAAGAGTAATTACCTAATTGACTTGACTTACATTAATCTTATGTGGGTCAGAGTAAAACTGTGTTTTATAGAGCTTTCAATGGCTGCTTTTTAAGGAGAAGACCTCCAGATTTTTTTCCAAGATACCTCTGGGTGTCTACACAGACTTTAACCTCCAGACCTTCAGTTAGCCATGGAGCATATGACCCTTTATCATGCGGAAGAAGGATGGGCATTCTCCTCCCATGCAATTAATTAACTGCCTCTGAAAACCCACTCGAGGGTCAGCTATGGGTCACTTCTGTCTCGACAGCTCACAACAGCAACAACTATTTATCATAGGACAGTACATAGTGATAGGAAAAAATGAATTGTTCATACACTTAACAACCTGGATCAATTTACAGAGAATTATGCTGAGTGAACAATCCAATAGGTGCATATAATATGACCACACACACACACACACACACACACACACACACACACACACAGTTCTTAGAATGACAAAATTAGGGAAAAGTATGTTCCTGTAGGTTTCTTACATATCAAATAAAAGGGATGATTGTGAGAAGGAAGAGATTATGGGTATAAAAGAATCAAATAAGTGATTTGGGGAATAATGGGAATGTTCTGCATTCTACTCTATTACTATCAATATCTTGATTTGTTATTGTTGTTAGAGTTGTGCAAGAAATAAGTACTGAAGAAAACTGATAGAAGTGTACATGAGATCTCGGTATTGTTTCTTACAATTGCTTGTGACTATATAATATTTTGAAATAAAAATGATAATACAAAACATTGTTATTGTTAGGTGTTGTTGAGTCAAGTACACCTCATAGCTAC